GGCACAACCACTGACATCCCAAATTTTCTTTCTATAATCTTAATTAATTAATTAATTAATTAATTAACAGTCTTAATTTTTGCATTACAATAATAATCCTCCAAGGGGTTGGTGCTTTTCTCTATCATTTTGTTGTTTTTGAAAACCTTTCCTTATTTTTCCTTTCTTTTCTATTATTTTATCATTTGAGTTTTTTTCAGCAACTTGTCTGCATCTTCTTAACCACAGCGTCAATATTATGGCCTTTTATAAACTCACCTACAGCAGGAATAATTTCTGTATCTATTTGAAATCATTGCGGATACATCTATCATTATGGTCTGAATAGTATTAGGTAAACCTTCGTCTTCTAGATTTTGAAGAACTTGGGAGGTATTTATATTTTGTTCAGTGGCCTCAATACCGCTCAGAATTACTTACGGGTTTGGAACATTGTCAATCTGGTATATTTCGCATGGATTCTCTGATATTTCGCTAATAACGTTTGACTGGGTATGATTGGCTATTATTTTAGTGTCACTTTTTTGTACAAGTTCTTGGTGTTGTAAGTTCAGTGGTATGTTGTTACTGTAAAATGAATCCGCTTCCAAGTGGCAGCTGCCGGCATCATTATCTTCATCAGCACCTTTTCTTTTATTAACAATTTTTTTAGACGATTGCATACAATAATACTCATTTGTTATATTTTCATGTATTATCCAATACCAGACGTTCCTTATACCCATGTCTTTAAATATACCATAATTATAAATGAACCTAAAAGTCCAAGAAATATCAGAAATGCCGAAAAGACTCCGCGTGCATTTTAAATCTGTGTAAAAACAAGAATAATAATCTGGCATTAACCAAGATCGACACAAATTTCCTCTTTTCACTTCTTTCTCAGCCTCAGCCTAACGAAGCCCTAGTTTTTTAAACCCCTCATTCCAGTAAAAAATACCAAAAAAAGTCAAATTGATAATTCGCTCATCATTACTAGAAAAGAAATTCCCAAATCTCGTATAGGTCAAAAACATTCATTTCAACCTAACTTTGTTAAAAATAAAAGGAATAGGGCCTACTTTGCTTTAGCCAAATCCAATCGAACCATTCTATTGCCACGGGATCCTTCCATTATATTATTAGCCCAAGCCACTTGCATATAAGAAAAGATAAACCAAACTAACTAATGTCAAAACACAGCATCTGCAATAGCTGTTATAAAACGGTGATATCTGATTGATTGCTGCGTATACTGCGTCTCACACTCAACTAACACACAGATACTGTTTTTTTTTGGTTATTTCGCCACAAATTTAGTTTTGGCTGTTAAAATAGATAGATCATGTCCAAGTACCTACAGGTCCGTCAAAACCTCATTATTTAAAAAAATGCATATACTGTGTTATTCCTTGGGACATTCGAAATCTAGTAATTGCTTGATCCTTCTTTTTTTTTAATTACGAAATCAGCTCGATTTTTACAAAAACGAAAATATCGGATGACTACGTAGGCAGAAATTACTTTTTCTATAGTGCCACGCACCTCCTGGTGTAAACAATATATAAAAACAACGCGAAATACTTGTTAGGAAAAAAAGAGAAATAATTATGGTAAGAAAGAGGAAAAAAAATTTCTTGCAAAACTGGATCGCTGGGTGCTTGCAAATTAGTTACTCGTAGTGTTCAGAGTTCTGGAGCGATGGGGGGAAGGAGGTCCACGAATAATAAAGAAAATATAGCACTATTTAACCTTACTAACTAACTAACCAAAACTAACCCAGTCTCTCAGATGGTTTGAGGAAGCCGATGTTTTGCGATAAAATAAGAATATTAATGATGAAATCTACTATTAAATTTAAAATGGTGCAATCGATAAAAGTTAGTCCCTTACGTGATCACCACAAGGGTAATATAGACAATTATTAATAACTCGACAATGATCGTACTCAGTATAATTATATATAAATTTTCAAAGCATTTGTACACAAATTATTTGAGGGTAAAACTACATAATTATTGAATCTCCGTGTCGATACAGCAAAAAAAAAACTATCGATTGAATGACCGAGCGTAACAAAACGGAAAAGGAAAAAAGGTATGCCTAATAATATCTCGCGAAGCGCTTACATCAAATTGGACGAGCAATGCAGCCCAGCTTCGCGCAGTTCTATTAAGTGAGCTGCTGGTGAGGCAATGATTCAAATGTGCTCCAATATCCTGAGATCACAGGAACTTCGAAGTTTGGATCCTCCCAGCCTCCAAACGCGAGCCCTCCTAAAGGAGGTTCGGGTGCTCTAAGGATAGTACAGTGCTCCAAGGATAGTACAGTGCTTCAAGGACGGTACGGGTGCTCCAAGGAGGGTACAGCGCTCCAAGGACCCTATAAAGTTAGTGGCTAAATTCCGAAAACGAGCCGGAAAATTTACTGACACTTTAAAGAGTGAATAGAATGGTAAACATAACAAACGCTAAATAAAAAGACTTTACCTCGGTGGATGTTCTTGAGGGTGAAAGCTTGGTAGGCAACAAGTAGCCGGCAAATCCTCTTACAGAGTAAGTGTGGGCAATTCTCCAAAAGAACCAAAAATACGAACAGCAACGGAATCACCAAATCGCTGACCACACATCTAAGTGAATTTAACCCTATATCCGCAAAGCGATGGCTGCAGAAAAAGCCATTAGGTTAATCACTTTTGGCTAGCTATGGTCTGTTCATAGATATAAGAAAGTGAAAAATTGCTTTTGAACGGATTATCCAAGGGTGGTCATTAACATACAATGCAACAAGATTATTACCAAAATTTTAATTAATTAATTAATAATTACATTAATTAATAATAATAATCTTGTTGCATTGTATGTTAATGACCACCCTTGGATAATCCGTTCAAAAGCAATTTGTCACTTTCTTATATCTATAAATAGATCATACCCACTGTTCTTCTACCAAACAACAGGAAAGCGATATGATACGACGCATGTCCCTCGGAGCCAGGAGTGAGAAAGATAAACAGAGTACTTCCTCAGATATTCGAGTGAGATGCAGGAACGGAGAGAAATCACGCTCAATGATACTAGCGGTACGAATTTATTTCGCAAACGAATTATTTGTTTAAAGAAAATATGTACATATTTATTCCGCTGTCGGATTGAATTAATTCATTATTGATAAAAGGGTATAGTTTTAAGGAGACCATTTATTAGGAAGTGAGTATTTGAAATATTAGTAATAACAACTAAATAAAACGAATTAAATTACGACTTTCTTAGCCTGGTAGCACTGCCGTATACGTCACAGCAAATCAGGTGTTTGCAGGAAAAAAAAGCGCTTAGAATTTAAAATGTAGACGTGGAACTACCGAATCGTATTCCACTATAATAACGATTCTAAAGTGTTACAATAGCGTGGGCCAAACAAGTTATTTTTTTATTTGCACTCATTTTATTTTGGTTAGTTTTTAACCCCCGTTTCTGTGAACCGAAATTTTAAAAAAACTAATTGGTTTTAACGAAAATTAGTTATCTGCAACCTTTTGGCCTCTGGATGACGTTTTAAAACAAAATTCGTGAAGTTGGACAATTGTGCCGCATGTAAAGCTGCTGGAGAATAATATAGGTTATATTTTTTGGCTGCTTCTCTTTTCAGAGGTGCAGCGGAAGTGATAAAACACATTTTGGGTAAATTTTGTCTTACCATCTATTACTGTTATGGTATAGTGCTTTAGAATTCGGTATTTTTTGTTTGGAGCTTAACCTGTGATTCAACTTAACATTTAAAATTTAAAATACTCCCGAAATGAAAGGTAGTTGTTGGGTTTCAATGTTTAATAAAATATTTCTCCTTAGTCACCATAGTCACCATTGTAAGTGTAGTTATTATAAATTTTTTCAATTTTTCTCTTCACATACAAGAAAAATTATCCTCTAATAATAATGTCAAATATAATATTTGCTAAGAGCCAAATATTCTAAAGGCTTGCTATTGAAACAAATATCTGAAAAGAGTCTTCATAAAATATTGCCATATATCTTGGATCGTATGTGGTTTTAACTTTAACTGTTAAGCTTTGCTGTTTTGTGGTTCTATCGTCCAACGCGCGTCTAATACCTTTCAAGCTACTGATTGACAGTGGAGACAGCCAATGCTACGTAACCTTTTTATTCTAAAAATAATTTAACTTTGAATTTCAACATTTTTACAAAAATGTTCCGTTTACGAGTTACCCATAAAAAAATTAAAATTTTCTTTTGAAGCTCCCAGTCAAAGCTGACGAGTTTTAAAATATTTAACAATCTTTAATGCTTCGGTGCCAAGACATCGACGCTTTGAAGTCGTTTTCTTCAGTCTTGTTGGATATGCCCCCTTTATCCGTACTCAATAAAAACGGAGGTGAGGATTAAAGGAATAAATTAAAAATACAAAACCTTTTTACACAATTTAACAGAAAAAACTTATTCACTTGTACCAATATCCCATAAAAATTTTGAAATTTTCTAGTCATTTTTGATAGAGGTTAGTGAACCGAATCCGCAATATCTATGCAAAAAAAAAATGAAATCTCACCTGAAGCGTTATTTTTTATTACACGATAATTTTATACACAGATGGCTGTAACTGCTTTCCTATCCTATTGGCATCTGACAAATCTCAGCGTCACAGCTAGATTTCGTTAAATCATTTATATCGAGCGGCACTCGACTAGGAGTCCCTGCGGGAATAAAACAAAACCGGCACTGATATGGTTCTATGTTTTCTACATCACCGTATCTCACGTATTCGAAAAAATGTCCTCAGTCTGGGGAACTATTTGCATTTAAAATATTGCCGAATCGCAACTGAATATATTATCTGACGTTGTTGATATATGCTAACCAGATTCAAATTTTATTTTTTGAAAGGTAGTTGGAAAAAGGAATCCGATTTTGTTCAGGTTTTAGTGGAAAATAAAGCATCCGACACCGGAAAAACTACCCACGTCCCGATCTTTCTGTATCGCACACCTATTTTAAAAAAATTACCGTCGAATGAGATTGCGATCGTAATTCCCGGCAGTTCTTGTCACGAATCATGATGCAATTTTGCTCCGGTCCAACTGGTTCGACAATTCCCTGCGTAATTATTTTTCCTTATTACTGCGAATCACGCAACCACACTTTCATTTTGCGGCAAACGGGTGTCTGGAAATTGCTGTAAAGACGTTCTAATTAATTTTTGATAAGCCGAAAATTTACTGCCCCACCTTGTTATTTTCTTATATTGAGGAAACTAAATCGAATTTTCATTTTTTTTTATCGTGTGCTGCTTGGTTAGGTGCCATTATGTTGCTTAGCTTTACTACTGATATGATTATAACATGGTCACTCAATAACAAACTAATCAAAACGGATGGACTTATCTGGTACAGGGACGGGTCCAGAATGGGAGATCTGGCCGGAGCTGGAGCGTACTGCGAAACAACGGGATCAAGCTTGTCGGTCCCTCTGGGTCAGTACTGCACTGTGTTTCAGGCGGAAATTTTCGCTTTATTGATGGCGGCCAGAGAGGTGCTTCGGCTCAACTACGGAAGCAGGAGAGTCTTCTTCTGCTCGGATAGTAGGGCTGCACTCATGGCGCTTAAGTCAGTGCGTACGCGCTCCTTGTTGATAAAGGAGTGCAAAGGGGTACTGAGGAGGGTGGCTGAGGAGAGAAAGGTCACGTTGGTCTGGGTCCCGGGTCACACCGGTGTCCGCGGCAATGAGGCAGCGGACGCCTTAGCCAGGGTGGGCTCCTCGCATAGGCATATAGGGCCAGAGCCCCGCTTGGGGATCGCCCCGTGTGTGAGGCGGGGAACTCTCGAAGCCCGGGCGAGAGACCGGGCCGCGGGGGGCTGGAGAGTTGCTCCGGGAATGAGGCAGGCGAGGCTTATGATGGATGGGCCCGCCCTTCCTCGGACCAGGGAGCTGCTTAGACTGACCAGGAGGGAGTGTAGAGCACTAACAGGGGCCTACACAGGACATTGCAGGCTTAGGAGGCATCTCTGCTTGCTAGGCATTGGAGACGACCCGGAGTGTAGGTGGTGCATGGAAGGGGAGGAGACCCCGTATCATCTGCTCACCGAGTGCCCTGCCTTGACATGGGCAAGATTGGGAGTCTTCGGAACGGCCCTGATCGATCCGGACTCAGTGCACGGTATTGGGCTAAAGGAGTTGCTGACCTTCTACAGGAGGGGCGGCATTCTGGACGCCCTCTAGAGCGGCCTGGGGGCACAACGGGCCCATCTGGTGGCCTAAGTGCTTGGACGCCCGCGAGGGCGCCCCCCTTTAATACCAATACCAATACCAATACCAATCCCATATTATAAAGTAGAAACCAAAGCATTGATTTTAACAGACTTTATCAAAGCATAGTAATTTTACGTTGCATCGATTTACTTAAAAACTACTTACAGGATAGAGTTCAGTATGTAGAGGAAAATCCTGGGGTGGAACCGCTAACCAAACAATTGTACGGGTATCACAGGAGTCAATTTTTTGCCCGTTGTTAGTTTCAATTTATACTAGTAATATTACCAGCAAAGTGCATATTTATGTGGATCACGCGCAAATATTTATAATGTAAACTTTATATTCTCGCGTACTGAAACAATTTGATAAGTTTTGCTGAAATCAATACTTTCGCTACTTGGGACGCTTGATGATAGATTACGGTGAAACATTAAAATTAAAATCGGTGGAGATAATGTTCCATATTTCAGTCAGAGCAGGAATGGAGTTAGTTTTTGATTCTGAGTTAAGATTTAAAATTCACGTCAAGAATAGCAAACATGCCAATATATAAACTGAATATTGCGATAAAATTTTCGACTAAAAAAATTTATTTGTAAAATTTGATAATAACATGCTTCAAAATTTAACTTTTCGCTGAAATTACATTTTAGATTTTATTTAAATTCTCTGATATATCTAGGTTTGACCGTCTACAACCAAGCAAAAACATATGCTGCCATATTTAACGAGGTGGTCGACTGTAGTAAAAATGTAGGTACCATTATTTGATTGTGAATATGAACCGATAATTTAAACTTTGTTAGAATTACCGTCTATGAACAGGAACAGGCACGCGACGTAAAATTGCTCCAGCGAGATCCTTTATTACGTCCTGTAGAGTGTCAATTTACAAGCCAACAGTGTTTCTCCACACGCCTTGCGCTTAAGATTAAACGAATGAATTCCAAGCCGTTCAAACCGCTCGATATTTCAATATCGAGAACCAATAGTTTGTTAAAACAAGTACAAACATTTAGTAGCTATTATGTAAAATTATGGGGAAAGCTCTTACTGTTGCAGCATTTGGACATTTCTTCGAGAATGGACCAGTTTTTCAAAACGTAGTTGAAAATAACGCATTATCGAAATATTATACAGAGAAATTTTTTTCCTGAACAGAATTAAATCAATTTAACAACAAACACAGTAAATAAGCTTTAGTTGAGACAAAATTGATTACATTTTTACTTTAATTGTCTTCACTAAAATATTTAATTCAATAATCCACAATTTTGTTAATTATATTCTTATTGCGCCAACAAAGTTTTGCTGAAATTTTCTACAAAATTTATTACCTGAATTAAACAATTCTTAACATTGCATACGTTTAGTATTAACTGGAATACAAAAGTTATTGCTTGGAATAAAGCGAATGTTAAATTAATGGTATGTTACCATATTTCCTTAAATTATAATTTATTTGCTGCAAGTAAATCTCAAGCAGCTACGCGAACAAACCGACCTGAAGATAGCGAATTTGATTTTGCCAAAACGTCGAGTTTCGCTACAGTTCATTCAATTAAATATTATTGTTCGCAAGTTGCTCCTTTCTTATAACGTAATATAATTTTATATTGCTTGAAATAAATATTTCACTTTTGTTACTTCAATGAAAATTTCTCGCAAATAAATTATAATTGCACGTAGTATGCCCCCTTTTTTTGCAATAAATAAGTAGAACATAGTGATATAATTATAATTATAATGGCAAATAGAATTTTCTTTTAACAAATATATTTGAGTTGAGATATGAATTAAAAAAAAATAATTCTCCGAATTCGATATTTAATTGCTCGATACGAATTAAATTATTTCATTAGAACAAATGTGCTTTATTTTCAGGAACTAATTCTATTTCTCTGTGTAGCGATCAGAACTGGACTATTTTTTTAAGAAATATTGACTGTGGTTTTAAGCCCAAATTAAGAAACACTGACCATCATAATCGTAGGTCACTGGGTACCATATATTTTATGCCTCTAAACTGAACTAAGGTGTTGGGCATTGGCAAGCAATAATAGTCAACTGTTTTTTAGAGCGAAAATTCTCTATTAACTTAAAATATATTTGGAAAGAATTTTCGGGATATAAAATATTATTTTATCTTCGAATGCAGAACTTGAATAGTTAAATTTATACAGAATAAAGAAGAAATAAGACGAACATTTATCAGCGGATGACACTTAAGAGAAATTGTTTCTCCTATTATATTTATAATTTTTAAATGTTATGGAATTGTATAATTTATTCGACGAGTGACGAATACTTTCAAATTGGAAGGTTCAAAATTACTTTTCCCATCGGTAGTCCCACATCCACACTGACGAACAGTCGATTTTAGCATACTAAACCAGCAAATTAGCGTATTCATTAAAATTGTGGACCTTTCTAAGCCATGCCAGGGCATTTGAAAAGGTAATATTCCACTTAGGTTAATTGAAATACCGACCACTAAGGAGCTTTGGATGTTGAACCATCAAAATCAGGAAATATGTATTCCAATTTCCTTTGCTATGAATAATTTCACATATGAAATGTCGCCTTGTTCATGGTTAATGATATTATATTACAGCGTTGGCATCGATCATTGTAAAAAATAATAAGAAATTAAAAAAAATAACCATCGAAAGCACAAAATTACAAAAAACTGGTGTTAATTAACAACAAAGATTTAGTGGTATTCAATGAGAGTGCAGTTATTACAAAATATTTTTATACTGATCATATAACAAACCATGTTAAACGGATCATATAACAAACCATGATAAATGTGATTGTGTGTTGTTTTTTTCCACCAATCGCTACCTAAAAAATTACATTTCTGTCAATGATTCGCGATCTAGGTATAACAAAACGACACAAATTTCCAATTAAAATGAAAACACTCAACGCTTTTAGATTAAAGCTGGAAATGAAATTTGAATCAATACGAAAAAAGCACAATTGTGCTACGCGGTGCAGAAGAATACCTGTTTTTGTGTTTTTCCTATCGAACTACCTACGGATACAATTCATTTTTAGTTATTCATTTACGACTGCGTACACTTGTATTTTAATATTATTAAATACAAAAACAAAATGTTACCTATCATGCGTTGATAGGCATTAATTTATTCATTATCTGAATAAAAGAGACCAGACTAAATACTTCAAATATTTTAGTATGTACAAATTTTTCCTGGATAATCCAGATTCATCATTTTCTGAATCTGCCGGTTCCTAATTTTTATTCCCTTGTGCCTATCCCGTCTCTTCATCTGAACTCTCTAGCTGTTAGTTTTTCGCCTACCTCTCATTCTCTTTTCTAGTGGTACCTAATTAAGGAGAATAAATGGGTTATGATCGTTGTTGTGCTTCGAGAATTTATTTGTACTCTTTTCAATTAAAGCTATCTGTTCTACGTTCAGGATTTTCCTTCTTTTTATATTTTATTACTCCCTGCTCAATAATAAATTTACCGTCAGAACTGACAACGTCAAAATTCCAGTGCTAAAATCTACTCAAAAAATCCGACCGGTCCAAAATTCGCCACATTTTTCACACGTTTGATTCGTGCATATTGGGGTCCGTTAGGGTAGGGATTGTGAACCCAAAGATTTTTTGAATTCTCTAGGTTTATGTTATAAATTCATTTCTAAAATATCTACAGTGAACGACTAAAAAATGGAACAAATTCATTTAAAAATCAGGTATTTGATTTCAAGAAAAATGCTCGCACACCATCACAATTTTTTCTTGCGCATTTTTTGCAGTAAACAAAATATATATATGGTGGATCAAAAAGTAGATGTCGGTACCAAGTTCCTTGCGGGTATTAAATGAAGAAAAGCATTATCCATACTAAATTACAATACCATAGCAGCTGAACTAACATAATATCAACCACAGAGTACAGTTTCGTGAAACTATGATGGAAATGTGAAACTGAAATCCATTTATACTTTTTAGTCACGTTTTGTTTAAATGGTGCGGCAAGTAAATAAAATTGTAGATATTGGAGTACAAATAATCCCTGATTTAATGAGGGGAAATCATGCTCAACTCCCGCAAAAAGTAAATGTTATATAATAAATAATAAAGAAAATAATTAAATAAAAATAATAAATCGCTGCCGTTGAATTACAAAATTATTGGACCCTTCTTCTTCAATCAAAATCTTGCTGGAGCCCGATATTCACAATTTCATCAAAATGGCATAATTCCTACTCTCGCAGTTTCTTTCTCAAATCGAAATCAGCTGATTGCTGGGTAAATGCGTGAATATTTAAATACGGGCAGTGTATTGGTAGAAGGGGATCAATAGAACGGCCTGCAAAATCTCTGGATATTACTTCACTAGATGATTTCCTTTGGGGGTATTTAAAATCAAAAGTATATAAGGAAATCCCACAAAATTTAGGTAATGTAAAATTTAGAATTAGATCCACAATAAGGCAAATTAATGAAAATATCCTGAATAATATTTTTGAAGGGATTTTAAATATAATAGTATTATTTCTTCAACATATTCTTTTATTTTATACAAGTTTTATATTTTCTGTTTACTGCGAGTTAGAATTATGATGGACGTATGCGAGCATTTTTTTTTTAATTCAATACCGGTTTTAGTTGTTCATATTCCTTGCATAGAATTCACGTGTATTAGCTCGAGTAAATTAACTGAAATTTCAAATTTGAATTTGAATTTATACCCAGAAGCTTTACGGACGATATTATTTACACTCGGCACTTGCAGCGTGCATTCTTGCAATTTGAATTTACTGCATGTGATAGGAAACGTATATAAAGTCATAAATAATAATAGCAATGTCACTTTTCAGGATCTAAATCATAAGGAATTACGAAATAATGCCGGAAATTGCTGGCAATTTATTATCTTAAGCCTCCCGCTATTATTGGGTGGGTTATATCTCCAGGAAAAGAAATTCTTGCCATTTTCTGGCACTCATTTGCCGCAATTAAAAAGACCGTGGAAAAAGATTGATATTTTTTCTGTTCCGGAACACGAGACGAAAAATTTTGCAATTAAACTTATTTTGTGATTCCAAGATTTATGATTCTGGCCTCACCTTTGTGTAGCAAAATAAGAAAATGGATTTCTACGACAGGCGTAGGAAGGAAAAAGGCTGTTAAAATTTATTCCAAATTGTATTTGGATGACTATTAATGTACGACTTCAAGGATCAAATTTTATCGGCGTTTATTGTGCACCTGCGATTGTTACGAAATCTTATAAAAAGTCATTACATTAGCATAATACTAATTTTTACATTCACCTCATTCATGGATGGAAACCTTCTTCAGTTGTCGCTTACCAATGACAGCTGCGATCTGAATAATTAAAATACAGTCGCGAAAGACGTTCGAACAGGTCGGGAAGTATTTCCAAAAAGTCAAATCTATATCAAATAAGCCCTAGCATTTGTTCTATCCGTTTATCATTTTAGTGTGTTCCTTGGATTGTTGAGATGGCTAACAATAACGAACGAGTTAGGTATGACCTCATTTACTGCTGAGTACGGAATATGGCCATTTATTAGATTTATATCTTATTATAGTGAAAAGATTTACTTCGGCGAAAGTGTCGCACAAGGGCATATAAATTCACATTTTCCAGAAATTCGTTGAAAGAGAAATATTGCTTTAAAAATGTAGCTCACAGAAATGGCGAACAGCTTAGAAGGCACAAAGAAGCAAATCGGACACCCTATGCATTTGAAATTAGGTTTGATATTTTACTATAGTACATTAACACTTAATTCAAGCTAGTAAAAATGAACACTTAAATTAAGAGATTTAAGTTTGAGTTTTAAAACCAAGGAAGGGTCACTGTCGCTGCTTTTCAGGAGTTTGATCAAACAGTTTTCGACTTTGTTTATTAGGTATTTAATTAATAATTATTTTAGTATACTTAATATACACTTAAGAGTACAACGTATGAGATTTTTTAATCTGTTTTTCCACGAAAATACAATTATTGTGGAAAGTTGATATATATTATATTACATAATATATTATTTTGAAAAATGTTGTTAATGTTCCAGATTATTAATAACGAGTTATTCATTCAGCATTTAATACGGCACTTCACCATTCCCAAAGTTCAATTTTAAAAAAATACTTTTGTTACTTTGTTTTTATCCATTTCATTTTAGGTCATAAAACAAAACAAACTTAGTACAAGACTAAAGTACCGGTTTTTTTTATTCAGCAAAGTGGTATTGGCATATGTTGTTTATATTCAAAATTTTTGCCCAAATACGAAAGCATTGCTTCTAAATAATATTTTGTTAAACATATTTATAAATTAATACAAATCAAATTAACGTGCGGCAATTTTGATAAAATTAAAGCACCATTAAAAGATTACCTTGGATTTTTAATATTTTAGGCAATCAAACCTTTATGTTCATTCAAATGATATTAAAAACGTCGTACAATTTCGAAACAATTCATGTTAACAACATAAAAAATTATTAATACTAATGGAAATATAAATTTCTTTTTATTCAAGATGAGAAAATCTTTTTTTTAAATAATTTTGTTTTGATGTAAAAATTAATGAATAATATTCCAAAATAATGTAATAATAAATTATTATAAAAAGGCACTTACACTTAAGTGATCACGCTCTTTGTTCAGTACCCATGAGTGCTACAGAATGCTTAGTAGATATGAGGAAGTTATCAGTTTAACTCAAAAAGTGTTGCAAAAGATCTCCAAGCGGTGGATAATAATATCATTCATTTTTCTTTATAAAAATGTAGAAAACTGTTTGACGTCAATTTATTTCCATTTCGAGCATACAAGTTTCATTTGTGGGTGTTTTTACTTTGCAACTTTCAATGTCTCCCAAAAGGTTTAGTGATTGCCCCTGATACCGAAAACTAAAAAAATTTGCTTTTACTGAGCTAGCGGGTCGCAAGGTGTTCTTTAAAAGTTTTTACCACTAATTCTCGGAAAAAAGGCCGCCGTGCATTGGATAATCGATGCTCCAACGCACACGTAACACCTTCGGATGAAGACATTCCAGAAGGGTTGAGTTAAGTCGAGCAAGCAACAAAATAAATACCCAAACCGCGTCAAAACGCGAAAACGCGTTTATAAAGCCCTTGACTTTGCGTGACTTGGTGTACCAAGAGATCTTCCTCTTTTCGTTTAAGCATTTATCAAATTTTCGATTTTGAATTAGCTCGGACATTTTGTTTCAATAGAAAATATCTACAGTCGCTAATTTTTTTCATTAATACAAACTTCGATACTTCTTAAAACATTTAGAATATTTGCTAAAGTTTACATATTTACCGTCGCCGATGAGCACTTGAACACACCGAAGAACCAAGCACTACCGACAGCCTGGGACATTTAAAATCCTCCTGCGATTAAATCTTAAAAAGTTTCATTTATTGTTCCTGAATTCGAATGGAAGTCGGCGTTCGTCGTCACGTCGTCCCGTCACCTGAGCAGCGGCTTCGAACGCAGCAATTCCCACGTCCCTATCCAGAGACGGCGATCGCGAACTGCCCCAATTTACCGCCGAAGCCAATGTTTGGGGCTGTTACGGACACACGCAGGCGTAGGGCGTAGGTCCCAGCAGGTCTGCTCCCGCGATGCTGTCGACGGCAGCAGGAAAACAGAAGCTGAGGAATGGGCTTGAATGTTCTCAGATACAATAGGAATGATCGGCAAATTATTACGCTAACCCGGTCATCTTTTATACGGGCTGTCCGCTCGCTTGATAGGTTGTTTGGTCTTTATTTTCGCGTGAGATTCGCAATTGGTCGCGGCATTTTTGTGTGACACAGTGTGTCAGATGACTTAGGGTACTGAAAAATTCGGCAATTCGATCAAAATTCGGTCCCTTTAATATTGTATTTTTCGTGAGGGGTTTTACTATCAGAAAACACGGTAATACGAAAGAATTTTTTTCAGTTGATGAAACTGGAGCACCAAAAAATAAATGTAGCGTTTCTTGTCACTATATCTTCATATCTAACGCCATAAAAGTGAGCAGAAAATACATCGGAAATAGATATGAATAATATAATATATAAACGGTAATTCAAGCGCAAATATAAAATACAAGCATATGTTTTAATATGCGCATGGGCGGTAACTTGAAATCTGGTTTTCAACCAAAAGGCTTAGCGGCATTCAACAACGAATATGGCCGCTGACAGTTCTTAATTCAACAATTTTTTACAGTACTAGTATATTACTGCTACTATATCAGCTATTAAAGAAATGCGCAGTTGTGGTAGTAAAAAACTTGTTCATTTGTATCCGCTCTTCACCTAATTCATGAGTATTGTAAGCATGAAATTCTATTTGAGGTTTCTGTGCGTCTATAACTAATGACAACAATTATGTTGAAACAAAGAATGAGGCTAATGAATTATTATTTAATATAAAAGCAGTCTCGTAAGTAACTTCTATTTTGTTTGAGTGTTTCCTGTAATATGAATCGAGGTAGAAAGTTCAACTTCTTTTTCACAAATGCTGATTATCAATTATTTTATTTTTTTAAAACCTTACTTCTAAGTATACAAATGTATTCAAATATTAATTAGGTATAAAATTGTATAAATACCATTAAAGCAAGTTTATAACTACAAAATATTTAAATATGTATTTTGAACTAACTCGTAAGGGTCTTCTTAAAAGGAAATATCCTAAACAAATTCATTTATTCCATTCTTTCATAATAATATTCCGTGCCTAACCCATAAAGGTCGAGATTTAAAGTTTTAGATAATGTGATATTTTAATTGGAAAATGCAAATGTGCATTGGAATTTTTCGGCCCCTACGAATTGGTATTCGTATTTGAGCGCATAAGTAATGACCTATTGTTCGATAAATTCAGCAACTTTACCTTGATTTCGCATTCTGCTCGGCCCTAATGACAAAATATTCCGAATATAAGTCCGGATAAAAGTGGCACTCGGCCAAGAAATTAGAAAACTACGCTATCGATCTGACACGGAGAACCGAGATGATATATTACATGGACAATGATGGAATCTACATATTAAAAGCTTTCTCCGAAGCACGTTCTTCAGCTTCCAAGTTCACGTTTCTCATTCGCAGTGGCGGATCGTGTGACAATGGGAAACATCGTTATTTTCGTTGGTTACTACACTTACGTGAGTAATTCGGCGTAATCGTTGAGGAAGTTTAACTTTTTAGGAATTTATAAGCAAAATATTTAAAAAAAAATTTTGGATTTGTAAACAGATAAAAGTAAATAAAAGTTTCATTCTATTATGCAATTTATTTGATTCCACAATAAGTTAATATAATATTTTCTAGATCTGGAAATTCTTTTCCGGCTATAACTAGATTCAATACATATTGGTACTTACAATTGGTTCAAAATAAATATTTTCGGACTAGTTTTCCAAAGCGATCATTTTCTCTTGTTTGTGCCAATAAGATAAGAAGTTTTTTCTATGATATTCTTATGAGTGTATGATTTGTTACAAAATAGTCAATTATATATAATGGGTGTTTTTTCGATGTATAGAACTTTAAGTTGGCATTACTGTTCAAGATGGTTACCGATTTAACAGCTGTCAAGTGATTTATTCTCAGTTTGGTTTGGCAATTCATCATGAACAGACTCACGCCTGAGCAACGCTTGCCAATAGTGCAATTTTATTTCAAAAATAATGGTTCTGTGCGGAATACGTATCGCGCACTACGTCCATTTTATCGTTGACAAAATCGTTCATCAGAGCAGTTAATTCGATTAACCATGGAACGTTTTCGCACCACGTTTACTCTTATTGATAACTCGCATCCCTAGAGACGCCGTACGGTGCGTAAAGAAGAAGCTATTGCTGCTGTAGAGCGTAGCATTGAGGAAGACCCGAATGAGTCCATCCGCCATCGAGCACAGGAAGTGGATCTGTGTCCATCCACTTTATGGAAGATTTTGCGGAAGGATCTTGGTTTACGTGCTTACAAAATCCAACTCGTGCAAGAATTGAAGCCAAACGATCATCAAGTAAGGCGTAGATTCGTCGAATTTGGAGCGAAGCAAATCCTCAAGTGTATGTCGAAACACCGTTACATCCAGAAAAACTGACTGTTTGGTGCGCTTTATGGGCTGGTGGAAACATTGGTCCGTACTTCTTCAAAAACGATGATGGCCAGAACGTTACAGTCAATGGTGATCGGTATAGAGCTATGATTACTAACACTTTCATTATTGAATTGAATATCCATTATGTCCAGGAGATGTAGTTTCAACAAGACGACGCAACATGTCACACAGCTCGTGCCACAATCGATTTATTAAAAGACACATTTGGTGACCGCCTAATTTCACGTTTTGGACCTGTGAATTGGCCTCCAAGATCTTGTGATTTAACACCGCTAGACTACTTTCTGTGGGACTATGTAAAGTCATTGGTCTATGCGGATAAGCCACAAACGCTTGACCATTTGGAAGACAACATTCGAAGTGTCATTGCCGATATACGGCCACAAATATTGGAAAAAGTCATCGAAAATTGGACGTCCAGATTGGACTACATCCGCGCCAGCCGTGGCGGTCATATGCCAGAAATCATATTTAAAATGTAATGCCACAAGATTATCTTTCGGACAAATAAAATTCATGTCAATCGAATAATCCATCGTTGTTTTATTGCAACTTAAAGTTCTATACATCGAAAAAAAACACCCCTTATAATATATAACTATAGGGTTCTATAGAAAAAGGTCCTCCATTTGAAACAGGATTAAATTTCGAATATAGCACGAGAACACGAATCTAATACCTAAACCAGAATATACGCCTTTAATGTGCTGATCGCAAATCTTCAGAGAACATCATTCCATTTGCAAAAATTCCGAACATTTCATTGTGGAAATATGGAACAACAATTCCAATTTCATTCCAGGCATTCTCCTTTTTAGATTCCCAGCTATGTGTTTAGTGGACTATGAACAGGTCGTCGCTAACCGGGGTTAGTTTATTACCCGGTGATTGATAGTCGTCGGTTATTAATGATAGGGTATGCCTATTTAAATAGGATTATTACGGCTTTTCAAAGGAACCAATTTTACGCTTATTACCTTCTAGCAACTTCATCCCATAAAATTTGCAAGTGCCTCTAATATATTTAAATTAAAATTTATTTAAAGATTTCCGTTAGAGGAATAGAGGTGCAGTCAGAAATTTTTTTCGCTGCTGCTAGCTTCCGAGAAATTAATCATCATCCTTCGATTTAGGTGTAAATCCGAATTTTAATATAATTATATTGCATTAATAAACTTATTCTAAAATTATACATTTTGTGGAATAATAACTAATTCAATTGCTGGGTACTATTATCATACCACACACATTGAGAAAATTTACTAAGTCACCTTAGTTGACGAAACTTTAGCTAGATATTTTGCAATACGTTTAATAATATATATTTAGTTGTTCACCTTAATTAAAGAATACGTTTTTATTTACTAACCTTGTAAAATAAAATTCCGAAAAGTGTAGGTACTAAATTGTCAATCTAAAATAGTTCCCCATTAAAAATAAATAACTCTATCTAAAACTATCTCAGCCCGAATCACTAAACACAGAATTAAAACATCTTACATCTGCTCTTCTGTCTAATAATTTCCACATTACTTATATTAAGCTTTACATCACATAATACACTTCACCACAATCTTCCAAAGACAATGAGCTCGAAAGCATCCCCACACTTGTGATTGTTGACCTTCTTTACATTTAAAACATCACTGAGCACAATCAAAAGTTCATAAGAAATATAACCTAAAAAGCATATTTATCACTTGTCCAATCAGCAGTTGCCGAACACTATCACGAAACCGAAAAATCCGAGAATCTGTAGAAATATATAAACAAACAAATAATCTTACCTGTGACTCAGGTATTTACCCGTAAGCAAAATGGGAATGAGTCATCCAAGACAATGTTCATGTAACTCATTTAGCTCCGCCCCCCTCAAACAATATATAAGTAGGTACAGAGCAGAATGCGAGTCAGTTTCAGTTTAGCTCTGGAGAAGCCAATAAGATGATTGGCGAAACATCAGCAAGTTAAACTTTTTTATTTTTCAAAATAACCTAAAATAAAGAGAAATCGTAATTTCTTCAATTACGAGTATCGTGGAGCAAAGTCATACTATGCATAAGCAGAATTAAATATATCAAAACTTAACTGGTAGTATACGATAAAGCCAACAACCAATGTAGCAGAGAATGAAGAAGAAGAATACTTAACTGAAACAAAACTTAAACATACTTACAATGGAAAGTTATAAATTTGCTGCAGAGTTAGTATCACAAGTAGTGTTAGGAAGCAAAATATTAGGTCTAGAAGGATAATGTCTACATTAAAACAAAACTGCTTAACTAAATCTTTTTCACTGAAGCAATTTCAGTAAATCCCAGCATCACTCGCTGGCTGGCTGGCTGGCGCTGGCTCATATTCTATTCAAAAATGTTAGTTTAAAGCA